AGCAAATTATTTGGGCAATAGAGCTGAAAATGTGGGCAAATTAGCATTTTTCATAGCAAGATTGTTCATTGTTCAGCCAATTCATGATTATATGTACGCATCTTGCTTCAGCTATCCTACTGCACAATGAACCTCTTTGCTGCAATGAATATGAATGTGGGCTAATTTAATCAATATACTTGTGAACGTTGACAGTAGTGGTGTCTGACAGAACTCATCCTTAGAAATGCTGGCTGAGTTAATATGTGCAGCATATAGATGGGCCAAAACTCATAATTTGTGTTCAAAGAAAATTATTTTGAGAAGACACAACACTACCTGTTAAACAATGGAGACGTCTAAGGGAGGAAGGCAAAGGGCAAAGAGATTTTTGTGTTTTCTTCCCTTGTTAGAGTGAAAAATAAAGTCTGTAGAACTATGCTGCCTTCCTTTTGAAAACTTTATAAGACATTGACTACATTTCTTTTTTCTCTCATTGATTTATTTGAATTCTGTGAATTGATTTTTTTTAAAGTGGGGGAAGGGGAGCTTTGTGCATTGTTTGGTTAAAGGGAGGGCTGAATAAGTGCCCTGCACCAATCTGCAAATGTTTGTTTTCTGCCAATATCAACATGTGTGATTAGATCGCATTCAGCCAGCTTGCTCTTTGGAGCAGGTGGATTTTAGTCATATCCTAAAGAATGCTTGCAACTGAAATTACCTTCTGAGATAAGAGAGCCACCCAGCCAGTAGAGTAGTTTAATCTGACCAGTCAGAATCCCTAAACCTTGCTTTGGAGAAACTTCCATCATCTTACCAAGAGACTCCTAATGAAACTTGTGCTAATTAATTCTGATTCTTTGACCAGCATTGTTTACTGAAACTAAGCACAAACACAGTGGAGGCAAAGGTCTAGGTGAATGGCCTCCTGCTTGGAAATGCAGGTCAGTCCACAGTGAACCCACCTGTACTGCACTTGTAAGTGTTTTAGCTTGGATACCTTCCTGGAATTGGGTACAAAGGTTTGGGGGCCTGACTCATAGTGGTACGAGACTCTGGGTCTGTGCTACCACTATCCACAGCCATGAGCCATGCCAAGGGAAGAATGTGCTGGGGCCAGGATGGAGTTCCCAAGGTCACTCCATCCTGAACAGACTTTTCTACACCAGATCTTCATATTATAATTTGCAGGGTTTAGAGACACTATTAGTAGGCATTTTGGTCAAAGCCTTTAACATCATCACTTCCGTTCTCATGGGTGATCCACTGAGAAACCAGTCAGATTGATAAGCAATAAATCATTTTTGATTTGGCCCAGATTCAGTTTTACTCAGCATTTCCAATATAATTTACCCAGTGCCACCACATTTTTACAAAGGACTAAGTAGATATGCTTGATCTTCCTGTTGCTAAGACAGAAAGTAAGATAACCCTTGAAAGGTGAAAGCTTACTGTTAGTGTTGTGTTAATGGCCTCAGGTAGGTTTTTTTTTTTTTCTTTTGAGAATTCTTTTTCTCCTCCCCTTTGGCCTCAGATAGTTTTGATGCTGATTTAAACTACTGGACCTAACAATGTTGGTCCATTTCAAATTTCTATGATTATACTTTGAGGTGAGACATAAACAGAAGCAGCTCAGTGTGGGTCTTACTCATTTCACATATAAATTCTGTTTCATAGGAAGACCAAACACTTTGTTTTCCCTAATTATTCTACTCCTTAGGGGTCAGAAGGAACTCTGGTGGCACAATGGTTAAGGCATTCAGCTGCTAACCAAAAAAAGTTTGGTGGTTCAAACCTACCAGCCTCTGTGTGGGGGAAAGATGAGGCAGTCTGCTTCCAGAAAGATTTATAGCCCTGGAAACCCTCTGGGGCAGTTCTGCTCTGCCCTTTAGGGTCGCCACAAGTTGGAATCAATTTAATGGCGGTGAGTTTGGTTTGGTTTTGGTTTGGGATCAGGATGGGGGACGATGATTCTCACTATACCAAAAACAAAAAAATGAAACACTGTCATCGAGTCAATTCTGATTCTAAGTGACTCCCATTGGGTTTCCAAAGCTGTAAATCTTTACAGTAGTAGACTGCCTCATCGTTCTTTCGCAGATCAGCTGGTAGCTTTGAACCACCGACCTTTTGGTTAGCAACCAAATGCCTTAACCACTATACCACCAGAGCTCCTTCCTTCTCCCTATATTAAAAAAAAAAAAAAAAAAAAGACAAACTCACTGCCATCAAGTCAATTCGACTTATACCATCCCCTCCTTGGGTTATCTCTACGGAAGTAGATTGCCCAGTCTTCATTCCAAGGAGTGGCTGGTGGGTTTGAACCAGCCTTCTGGTTAGCAGTCAAAAATGCCTTAGGCACTATGCCACCAGAGCCTTCTCACTATAGACAAGTTAATTCATGTCACAAAATCCAGGCAATAGGACTCAGCTGATTCTACCCTTGAGAATTTTTCCAGTACCATGTGGCTTCTGAGAGTCTCTGAAAAAAGTTGGGCATAACTGTCACCCTCCAGATTTATAGACAATCTGTGGCACAAAACTTTGCCTAGACTATATTAAAAATATTGAGAGTACCATAATTGAGGTCTGGTGGCATGGTGCCTACGGCATCTGACTGCTAATCAAAAGTCTGGAGGTTCAAATCCACCAGCCACTCCTCAGAAAGAAGACTGGGCAATCTACTTCCGTAAAGATACTGCCTCAAAAACCCAAGGAGGGGTTGCTATGAGTCAAATCAACTCAATAGCAGTGAGTTTGATAGTTTTTTGGTTTTTTTTTTTTTAATTTTAGGTTTCATGAAGAATTTTCCCTTAAGAAATCAAGTAGGCACTAACATGGGGAGGTAGACTTGCAAGTGGCAGTTTTGTTATGTGCAACCTTAAATACAGTAAGTTGCATAACTCAGAATATACATTTTAAACAGTATACAAAGATTCTGTAATTGAGACACTAGAAAGCTTCAGAATTACAGAAAATATACTGGATGTGAGATTTTGAGCGATCTCTAAATCAGGACAAGCAAAGAAACTCACGTCAGCATTAAAATTGATTGAAAAAGTGATTGGTATGAAAAGGAACCCCCTTCTAGAATTGCTTGCACTCCTTAAAAGTCACTGTGGTGCTTTTACTAGTCCTCTTGAAAGGAAGTTACCAGGCATACATGGTTTATAATGTGGTTAAATCCAGTAGTTTCATGCATGTCCTTTATAAGTACAGGCCAAACTCTCACTGCTGTACAGTTGGATCTCACTCGCAGCGACCCCTCCTTGGGTTTTTGAGGCAATATCACTACGGAAGTAGATCGCCCAATCTTCCTTCTGAGGAGTGGCTGGTGGGTTTGAACCACCAGCCTTCTGGTTTGCAGTCAAAATGCCTTAGGCACTGCACCACTAGTGCTCCCAAGTACAGGCATACCTCGTTTTATTGCACTTGGCAGATACTGTGTTTTTTACAAATAGAAAGTTTGGGGCAATCCTGCATCGAGCAAATCTATTGGCGCCATTTTTCAACAGCATATGCTCACTTTGTGTCTCTGTGTCACATTTTGGTAATTCTCACAGTATGTCACACTTTTTCTTAATGCTTTCACACACTTAATAGACTACAGTAATAGTGTAAACATAACTTTTATATGCACTGGGAAACCAAAAAGTTTGTGTGGCTCACTTTATTGTGGTAGTCACTTTGCTGCAGTGGTCTAGAACCGAACTTGCAATACTCTAAGTATGCCTGTGTTGAATTCAACATCATGTCAAAGCCAAACTAAGTAGTTATGGAAATTACCCTAGGATATGGAATTACAATGGGAGAAGAGTGGGCTGTGTGCATATATATGTTTCTTCTATCATGAGATATATTCTTTGGATAGAGTCATTTCTCTGTGCAAGGCCTGGGGCTAGGTAAGGGGTATATAAAAATGAAACAGATTTGGACACTTGCATTTGTGTTTGTGTGTGTAATTTAGATGATCTGACACGGTGCCTAGTGGTAAAAATCATAGACTAATAAATTTAGCATAATGGAACATTCCAGGTGAACTGGTAAATATTGTCTTCCTGTCTGTGCAACTCAGCGTCGAACTGCTTTATTTCACATATAAATTCTCCTTAATTGATGGTCCAAGCACTTTGTTTTGCCTAACTCTACTCCTTCGGTTTTTTTTTTTTTTTTAATCTTTAATTATACTATTTCCAATGCTGCTCAAGATGTGATACATTTGCTTAGAAATGTGCTTTATCATATTTGAGAACTTTAGCGTAACATATATTAATTATTTGGTTAATCTTCCAGCATGAGGCATCTTTAAGTAATCAGTGGGCAGAAACACGTGCACACTGTACCAGGAAATCAGTTTCCAACATAAATAACTCAGCAGCTACATATCCAATTTGTTAGGATTCATCATTGTTAAATTCAGATAGGATATTATATTTATGGCCGGAAGGTTTTGATTGTATACAAGTGGGCTAATTTTTAGCACATGGCAATGACATTAATTTTTGAAAAATAGATGAGTAAGGAATTCTTAACTTAAAAATCATATGTATCTTATTAACATTTTGAATTGAATTATTTTCCTGAGTAGAACTGGCTTTTTAGAGTATATTTTTCTCCACCCGTTGAGCCACAACGCTCAGCCAAGACAGATTTATGACCTTTTAAAAATAATGATGGAAAATGAGATAGGAGGAAACATTTTAGTATCTGCTTTGCTCTGAGGCCTAAACTGCGAACTCTCCAGTTCTTGAAGGCTTTGAAATGCTGATTCCAGCCTTCTTGTGGGTTCTTAAACACCTTCTCAAATGACCCATTTTAATAACCCGAAAGCTATTATATAACGAGCAGCCATAATTTAGTCCAGGGCTCTAGGGGGACCCTCACAGTTCAGCAATGAATAGTTAATGCAGTATAATGTTTAGCAGGTTATTAGTTTTCACTATACAAATGCTGATCAGGGAACGCTTTTATAAGGTGTTTAAAAGAAAATGTAATTAACTGGTTGCGTGCTTCTGTTGCAGCTCAAATTGAAATTATTCCATGCAAGATCTGTGGAGACAAATCATCAGGAATCCATTATGGTGTCATTACATGTGAAGGCTGCAAGGTAAGCCTTTTAAATTGTTGTTGTTGTTGTCGTTTCTATTAATGTTAGAAGGTAGCTTTGTGAGTTTTATTTTTCACTTCTACTATTTCTAAAAATTCCACACCTTGGAATTTTGATTGATGAGAAACGACACAACATAGTAAATATTATGTTTTTAAATTATAATTAAGGCATATACACACACACATATAAGTGTATGTGTGTATATGTGTATGTATGTATGTATGTATGTATACGTATATATATGTATGTAATATTTGTTGTTGTTGTTATGTGCCGTCAAGTCAGACCCGACTCATAGCGACCCCTCCTTGGGTTTCCGAGGTAGTAACACTAGGGAAGTAGATTGCCCAACCTTTCTTCCGAGGGTGGGTTTGAGCCGCCAGCCTTCTGGTTAGGTACTACACTACCAGAGCTCCTATATATATATAAATATATATATATCACCTCCAAAATAACAGGAGGATTTGATTTTCACTTCAATCCCAGAATTGATGGAACTGAAGAGCAATCTTTTTGGTGGTCTTTTTTTTAAAAAAAAAAAAACACTTCTGTGGTAGCTCTGTTATACTTTATAGGAAGGCCTTTCCAATCAATGTAATTGGAATGTAATTGGAAGTCTTACTGTTGACACACAGATACTGACACATCTGACCAAAGTATGGGAAGGCTGTTGGGAAGAACTGAGCTCTGATCCTGCTTCCACCACTTGTCCATATTGTTTGGGGCAAGTCTTAATCCTTTCATGACTCAGTTTCCTCTTCTAAAAAAATGGGCATAACACCTGTTCTGCCAACCTTTTAAAACTATTTCAAGAATCAATGAAAAACTACAGACTAAAGTCCTAATAAACTGGAAAGTGCTATTTAAATCTAAGTATCAATATTATTGCTGTTTTTATCATTTTTATTACTGTTCACCTTGATCTTGGAGGAGTATATACAGCACAAGTGTCATGAGGAAATGAGAAATAGAGATGTTTAACCTAATGATTCAAGAAGACCCCCCCCCCAAAACCCAGAGTGCCTCTGTTATTCAAATTTCAGTTTATTACGTTTTAAATCCTCCTACTTATACTGGAAGGGCCTTGAGACAGCTTAGAGGATAAAGCAGTGAAAAATAAACAGGAGAGAAGCTATCTAAACATGCAGGAAGCCTCTGAGACAGCTGATTGGTACAGCCAGGTCTGAATTAGCCCTAAAGCTTTCTAAGGCTAAAGCGAAAAATAAAATCCATAAATTTGGTTAGCTTTCCTTGAGTAAAATTATGTAAAAAACAATGTCATAAAATATAAAATCATCTACATATACAAATAACTACTCACAAACTTCAGGGAAATTGTGTAATTTCCCTAATTCTTCATTTTACTGTTAATCATTGTAACATTTGCTTCTTTGTACATGTACAAATTATTAATGTTGATCTCATTGTAGTGAAGCTCTACTATTGAGATTTTTGCACACCCACCAACTAACACACTTAATTAAAAAAAAAAAAAAAAAGAAATCATTACCTGCCTTTTAGAAGTAAGGAGCTTGCTACTAAAAAGGGATTTTGAATTATTCATTTCTATGGTAATCCCTCCAGGCCTCACAGTTCTGGATTACCAGATGTAAAAAGAAAAAAAAAAAGTAGTTCCACCCTTTTACTTCCTCAATCTGCCCTCCCTCAAAATAAATAAAGTAAGCTGTCTGGCCTATGCCATCCCAGGATGTAAGGAAGAGACAACTGTTTGTGCATTGATTTTTTTAGAACTGATTTGGCTGATATGGCTGGGCAGATAGGTATGGCCCTTCATCCTCATCACTTTGTGTTAACCATCTCCCAAAGCTGGGCGCCTGGTAGAGGATGACCATGGCCTTCCTCCAGGAAAGGCATCTAGACAGCAGTGCCCCCTACTAGGAATGCCAAGCACACTATGCAGTGTATAGCCCCTCAGTGTTTTCTTACATGCACAGGGTGCCAGTTCACTTCATGTTCCTGCATTCTGCCCTTTCTCTGAGCCTTTCATGTGTAGTTTTGTGGGGCATACTGCAATATCTAGGAATCGAGTTGAGGGCAGGACCAGAGTAAGGGTGGGGACTTGTTGTTAGGTGCCCTGGAGTGGACTCCCACTCATTTCAACACCACGTGACAGAGTAGAACTGCCCCATAGGGTTTCCTAGGATGTAACCTTTACATGAGCAAATCACCAAGTCTTTTCTCCCGTGGAGCAGCTGGCGGATTCAAACCACCAATTTTTTGGTTAGTTGGTGAGTGCTTAACCATTGTGCCACCAGAACTTCTGGGTGGAGGCTATTTCCTGTGAAGAACTAACCAATCCAGAAGATTAATTAAGGACATGCTATTCAGTAAAAGCCGAATTGACTGGCTGAGTGCCACTGTGTCTACACAGGCACAGATAATGTGTGTCCCTCCCTCTAGTGTTTATTTATGACAAGAATAAAAGCAATGAGAAAAGAAAAAGCTATTATTCCATAGCTGCCATATTTCTAGATTTCCTTCCAGATTTTATTCATTCACAGCCTCAATGCCAAAGTAGTTGTCAGTCATCCATGGTCCTATGCCTCTGTTCTATTGACTTCAAACAATGAAAGCCACAAAAACAAATAATTAAAACTTAGTTTTATTAGCATATTGGGCTTATGCCCTTCCAGGGACTTATACAGTGCTATGTGTTTATATGTAATGCATAAAGGATTTGTTATGCATTATAATTTCTCTCTGTTTTATCTAATATTTTTATTCCTAGTTATGGTGAAGTCAAAATCTTCTGTGTTTTGCCATTGATGTTAATTATTTATCTTGTTCTAACCAGGTGAAAGTGGTTCTACCATGACCAATTATAAATAATTTATCTCTGTGATAGAACAATTAGATATATGGACATTTTCTAATTAGATATATTATATTGATATTTAATGAGAGGGAAGAATATGCCCAGTCATTTTTGAACCAATCATTTGTAATCATATTTCAAATTGCATTTTAAAGTCAATGACCTGAAACCTTGAGAAACTAGGGAAACCAGTTTAATTGCTGAAACAATGATCCCTTCATATCTCTTCAGGTAAGATTGTGCACAAACAGCAAAAATGGTGGATGTTCATTAGCTCCTTTTCTTGTTCCTGGGTGTTCCCAGCTCATCCTCTCCTGTTCTCCCTTGCTCCCTGGAAACCAAAACCAAAGCACTTGCTGCTGAGTGGATTTGGACTCATAGCGATATGATATGAATCAGGATAGGACTGTGCTCCATGGGGCTTTCAATGACTGGTTCTCGGAGTAGATTGCCTGGGCTTTTTTTTCTCAGGTGCCTCTTGTTGGGTTACAACCACGAACCTTTTGGCTAGTTGTTGTTGTTGTTGTTATGTGCCGTCGAGTCAGCCCCGACTCATAGCGACCCCTCCTTGGGTTTCCGAGGCAGTATCACTACGGAAATAGGATTGCCCAACCTGCCTTCCGAGGAGTGGCTGGTGGGTTTGAACCGCCAGCCGTCTGGTTAGCAGGCAAGTGTCTTAGCCACTGTGCTACCAGAGCTCCCGGCTAATAGTCATGGCTTAACCTTTTATGCTTCCCAGGGACTCCTTTTGCTTCCTGTAGAGGGGCAGTTCCGGTGGTGTAGTGGCTAAGGCATTTGACTGCTAACCAGAAGGCTGGCGGTTCAAACCCACCAGCCACTCCTCAGAAGGGAGACGGGGCAATCTACTTTTGTAGAGATACTGCCTCAGAAACCCAAGGAGGGGTCGCTATGAATCGGAACCAACTCGAGGGTAGTAAGTTTGGTTTGGTTTTTGGAGAGAGGCAGTTTATTGTTATCAGGCTTAAGCTTCATCTCTGGAGCCAGACTGCATGGGTTTAAATCCCAGCTCTGCTACTTACTAGTATACCCCCCCCCCAAAAAAAAATCTTTGTGCTTCAGTTCCCCTATCTGTAAAAATGAGAGTAGTAATTGTAGCTATTTCATAGAGTCATCATATGTGTTCAAGTAAAGCACTTGTAAGATGGTTTAGCATAGAACAAGCATTCAATAAATGTTGGCTATTGTTCTGGTGGCACAGTGACTAAGGCATTTGACTGCTAACCAGAAGCTGGTGGTTCAAACCCAGCAGCCACTACTCCAAAGGAAGATTGGGTAATCTACTTCTGTAGTGATACCACCTCAGAAACCCAAGGAGGGGTCACTATGAGTTGGGATCAACTCAATAGCAGTGATTTTGGTGTTTTGGTTTATTGTTACCATTATCATTACTAGCCAGATCCCTTAGTGTCTTGGTAATGCTGCTCTGTATAGTCAGATATCATTTCCAGGACATTGTTGGGCCTAGTCTTGATTTTTTGTGATCATTTTGAATATACTATGCAGTATCAACCAATCAAAACAAAAATATGAGAACCATTGGGGTCAGGTACTGTGTAAGCATTATTAAGGACCCAAAGACCTAGAAGACCTAATTTTGCCCTCATGCAGTTTATGGCCTAGTTATAGAGATGAGACATACATAGGAAAAACTAAATAGCAATGCAGGAAGTAAACTATAGGACAAGACCACAAGCTATGATATGACACAGGAAGTATATACCCATTAGGCAGCAAAAGCAGTGACTTAGAGAAAAACGGTGGCTCTGTCCTCCAGTAGCCTAGCAAGGTTTCACAGAGGAGGAACCAACAGTGAGCTGGGAGACAGAAGGGTTTGGACAAAGCAGGAGAGTTGGGAGGAAATTCTGGGCTGGGGAGTTGAAGGAGTAGGGAATGGCAGAGGCAAAAGTGCAGGAATGGGAGAAACCTTCTAAGAAAAAAACGAACTCACTGCCTTTGAGTCAATTTGGATTCATAGCAACCATCATTGGGTTTCCAAGGCTGTAAATCTTTCCAGAAGCAGATTGCCTCATCTTTCTCCTGTGGAGCAGCTGGTGGGTTTGAACCACCAACCTACTGGTTAGCAGCTGACTGCCTTAACCACAAAACCACCAGACCTCCTTAGATAGATAGCTGCCCTGCA